ATTGAAATGATGTTAATTCAAGATATCCTTTTTTTAGGAGCAAATAAAGAGTCAAAAGACCTTGAAGAGGACACTGGTTTAGTTGGACTTGTCGAGTAGTTAAGACTTTGATTGTCATTGTTACGTCAATCACTTTTGAAGAAATCAATGGATCGGTCATGGGGTGCAACCCCCCAAGGTGTTGCGGTTATGTTTGTGCTGCAGAGAGGAAAAAATCTTTTTTATTATTGCACAGGAATAACTAATTCAATTAGTTGCTTCGATCACCCGTCAACTGAGGGAGTCTTATTAGCTTGCTACATCTTTGACGACCGGTGGTCTAATTTGTTGTCGTTTTTAGGGTTTATACCTCTGCTTGCCTGCTGCCTAAATTTGCTCCATCGTGTGCAGAGCTAGTGCAATTGATAAGTCCTCCTTTTGTACACAGTAGTTAGCTATCCACTGGAAAATTCAAATACATTGTTATCATTGGTTTTGGTTTTACGGATACCGGAAAGTATCGCTGGGCTGTGCCAATTTCTGCTAATCTGTCATTTTGCCCTGACGAAATCACACCGCAGTGAAAAGTCAGTAAATATTCCAACATTATTATCGACTCAATTGATTGTATTATATCTAAACTTCCTGAAATAGAGTGGAAAGTTGTTATCCTTGTCAAATATTTGATCTTCTTTACAAGTAGTCAAGCAGAGCAGGACATTGAACCAATTCAAAACTCGTATTCAGTACAGTAGTACTAGATACGGATCGATCAATTCAGACATTAATTGATGTGTCATTCTTTTTTGATGTCGGCTACTAGGAGGGAAAAAATGCTTCTCTGTTGAGATGCCATTTCATCTATCTTAGTCGACTCTTTCATACTACATCATCCAATTGCACAATTTTACTTGTTACGATACGACTATGCAGCAGTTGAATGCCTTTGCATTTTAGTTGACTGTACATCCAAGTCAAGATGTTTAATTACGATCAAATTTAGCCGCGATAACTTGGCTAGATCATGGGATACTGATATCATAGTACCGTCCACCAGCCTGAATGCTCTGATTGTCAACCTTGGAAGGCTAATAGGAACAGAACTCTTCTTCGACTTTTTACACACCGGCGAAGGGGCTGCATTTCGCTGACACAAATTGATGTAGTCAATTCTTTCTTCGCTTACTCGATCATACAGTACTGTGTAGTCCATGCAGCATAGTATACAGTACATCATATCGTTTGACGATAGTAGTCATTATCTAGACTGAGTAATATATGAGCAGGGCTTTCTTTCGAAGATAGTTTTATCCACCTTTGGGATTGCTTGTGCCAATCCTTGTCGCTATTCCGTCATGGACGGTACTGTAGTGTTGCAGTATATTTAGTTCCATCATTTCACTGTGCCCATTGTGCTGAATGACCATAAATGTTACAAGATTTCTACGATTAGATTGACTTGTGACTTTTAAATAGTTTTGATTGATAAACCATATACTACACTTGGACAGTAGAAAAGTAGTTGTATAGACAAGGACGCTATCTATGACCGAGATAGTGCAGTATTTCTACTTCTATTGAAGAAATGATTTTCGACTGTACTAATTGATTGCCTGGATTTACTTTTTTTTTCGCTCATTATAGCGTTTCTTTAACAACCACTATATGAACAGCGCTCTAGTAATGAATTGTGGAGATTCATCATTATTAACGATGAATAAATCAGTCCAACATCATCCCAACATGAATACGATGACGAATTCACTTCGCTTTCCGCCGCCTGTTGATTGCCAACCACCGCCAAACGGAGTGCTTGGCCAATTCATTCATCAACATACGCCTACCATGAGAATGCCTGACTATCCTGGACAAGATCCACAGATGACTGCGTCTAACATTCATCCCTATTTCGATGCTATGCGTCATCAAAGTTTAAATGAGGCTTCCAATCAGCCATCATTTACTACTTCTGCTGCTCCGATCCACAATCCTACCTACCAAATGCCACCACCCCCTCACTCAGTTCCTGCTCATTATCCTACTCATCCAAGGCATTTAACTGGCGATTTTGTTATCGCATCATCGCGAGATCCCCGATTTCCTCCGCCTTTCCCAGGTAAACCATTCTGTTCAGATAAATATGATTAAAAAGTAGTGTAAAGCTTATCTTCGACTGTGTATGGATATTGATCGACTTGGATACATTACGGGCTTAGTAATAATTTGCCCAACCATTTTATTGTTGCTATCGTATTAATTATAAATCACAAATTGACAATTTCCAATGACACGCTACTGTATATCATAATCTATACTATCGTATGCACTAGTGATTCGTTAATAGCACAGTAGAGAGTGGTGACCCCTCCGGTGTACTTATAATGATTCTAATTCAAATTTACGCCTTCCTAACAGTTGCTTTTCATTTCTATTTAACTTTCTCCTATCAGTCATCCTCCAATTACTATTTGATATATCAATTTTTAGTTCACCATCAATATAATTGAACTACGTGAAGGTTGTGTTTGTCTTTTTTAGTTATATTTTAGTGAAGTGATATTCTGCAGATAGCGTCATGCAGTATAGCGAGTAGATTCCAAGATCGCTGCTAGGTGATCATAATTATGAATGTGCTATAAGGTAGCGTGCTGTACACTAGGATGCGATACTTCTCTAAGATAAGAAAGCAAACATATTCCACTCAGGGAGACATCCAATGTGTAAATGATTGCATTTTAGGCATAAATCATCTTGATTGAGGGTATTCTACTTTCGAAAAGTACGCACGCAGATAACTTGTTTTACTGAGCGCGATGAAACAACAGCTTGCACGGGGTCCTCAGAAAGTAGAACACCAATGGCCTGTGTCCTAATACGCGTGTGATGTTTTTGCTCCCAGCTGGGCTTTGCAATTCAAAGTAGTAGATTACTTTCCTTTAAAGCATCTATGCTCCAATAAATAGCATTAACTGTTATCATTTATATTGTGCCTAACTAATTCGTATGGCACTGAGAATCACGATCGTGCTTAATTAATTAATCTACTTCCAGAAGATACGAGTACAGGAGATTCGATTGTTTATATACGTACTTTGAAGTTGGTTAGCTATTGTTGCCATTTTGAGAGCTGCAATACACTTATCCACCCAATTCAGGATGTTCGTTGTGATTGATACACTGCTATAACATCGATGACATTACTACTAATATTCACTACAGTAACAAATTTCCGTTACATTACTTTGCTGTATCTACAATTGAAAGCATGTTGCATGTACGGCAGCCTTGCCATTTAGATCTCATCAGAAGAATCTCTTTTGTTAATACTGTACACTGTACTATAGACATGCGGAGAAAGAGAGAAATCTGAGTGGTGAATAGTTTAGGTCAGCGCAATCCATAAATTTTTTCATAAAGTATTTCATCAGGCGGGAAATGGATTAGTGTGAATGATTGAGCAACCATGTCGAGTAAGTAGTAGAATAGGTCGCTATAAATCCACGGATTCAATCCTCCAATTTCGTTTCGTGATCAACAAGTGCCAAATAGGCACAATTTCATGGATTATTAAATACAAATTCTAATAATTCTTAGCTGTACAGTATATGATAAGCGAGGCTAGCACAACTCCAGCGATTATAATTTTGGATTGATTAAGATAGCATGGACCACCGTACGTTACAGTATGTTAAGAAAGTGGACATCAGTGTCCGGGGCAATGGCGTGCTTTCGGCTAACTAACTTGTTGATTCTGCAAATTTGGCCGACTCAATAAAACGCAAATGTCATTTGCCAGCTTGAATCCATATTCACTTAAAGACGGCGTGTTTGTCTTCACATTTTAAAAGGAAGGAGAGGTTAATGATATAAAGAAATTGAAATCTCTTTTTGCAACATCTGAATCAGTTGAAATGTTGACCTATTTATGCTTAAAAAGCCCTTATATTGGACAGCCGTTAGTGATTTACACAGTTCGCTACATAGTGGGCTTCATTGCTACGGATACTGTTTTATCCTTGATTGAACAAATGGTGAATCTAGAGACCGACCATATTCACATTTGAAGATGAAATACAGTAGAATTTCACCTCCAAATGAGCTAAAATAAAAGAAAATGTAAATATTTGCACGGTACAACTGTATTTATTTAACATCGTCTCACATTCGGCGATAAACTGTTATATAGTGTTTAGCCGCAACAGGAAACTATTTAGACTATACTAAGTATTTTTTTAACTTGCAATTGCTGCTCGAGATAAAATGATCGCTTGCATTTTAGTAAATTAAATTGGATATAGTGATAATATAGGAAGCAAGACACATTGCGAGTAATCATTTGATATGATGTTCAGTAACGTGCTGAGAGTGTCTGTACACATGCAGTGTATCATAGTCCTGGCACAGTAGTAAAATGAACCTAGGATGTAGTACTGTGTGATCTAAGATTATTATTTTAGATGTAGATTAGCGTTATCATTTTATCCTACTAGCTTTTACTGCTTAATAATTATTACGAATACGTTCATAGTTGGTGCCTTATCGATAGTTTTATAGTCTCACATGGTATCGATGGCTCATTTAGTCATGACTGCGTAGTAATATAATCTAATTCATCAATACAATAATGACGACTGATTATATTTTAGTCGTTATATATTTTTATGCTATGTTCAGTCAAGATAGAGATGGGTGTTTAAAAGTTTAATGTACTAGCGTTACCGACCCTAGCGTTTACAAATTTCGTGTAATAATATACTTAAGTTGTAAATTAAAGCAAGAACTAATTTATCCATTTAGGTTTGGCTCCATCCCTTACCGATTTTTCAAACATTGATCAAAACTCTCGCTTAAATCAACATGCTCAAAGATTACCTAGCGATTACCCATCCGCCCATGGTCATATTAATCACGACCCAAATAATTCATTTCACTCTATTATACCAACTGTTCGTCCGCAAGCCAAGCAAGAGCAATTGACATGTCGCTGGATTAACCAGGACCGTCAAAGTAGCCGTTTTGGTAAGGTTTGCAACCGCACTTTTGGTTCTATGCAGGAAATTGTTTCCCATTTAAATGTTGACCATGTTGGAGCCCCTGATCAAACCACTCATACATGCCATTGGGAAAACTGTCAACGTGCTGGAAAACCGTTCAAAGCCAAATATAAGCTAGTTAACCATATTAGAGTACATACTGGTGAGAAACCATTTCAATGTCCTTTTCCAAGTTGTTGCAAATTATTCGCCCGCTCTGAAAACCTAAAAATCCATAAGAGGACTCATACAGGCAAGTTTTATCAATTTTTTAAATTAGTATTTTTGAACGGTAGAAAACAAGAGATTATACTTGATGTTTTTATTTTCAATGAGTGCGCTGAAAATAACTTAGTACGACCTGAATCATGGTAAATTTTACGTTATAAAATTCGCATGCTGCACATTTACCGGTACCTCTTCGGTGTTGATTTACGATTGAAGTTGAAAATGATTTATTATTTATGAAGTAGACAAATTGTAATATCTCCCACTGGCGGCTTTGATAATGCTTATCAGATAGATTCATGACTTTCATACAGTTTTAGTAGTAACGCTCTTATTTTTCCTGCCTACTTTGTATACAGTATCCGTTAACAGATTACGCGCATATTGTAAATCAAAGTTGATCAATGGTTTATAAAGAATCGCTACCCATTCATTAATTATTTTATCGTAGGCATGCTATCCTATTGTACAATTGTATCTCTAACAGCTATGTTACTCTTACATTTTATGAAACGAGTTTTATTTAATAATATAACGTTATGATTGCTTCATTATTGATTGCCACGTGGATTAATGATACAATTAATGTTACTTGATTTACCATCATGGGTGATATAGTACTTCTTTATATAAATTAACTGAGCCATACTTCGTTATCATCTTCTGTTATCAAATAGAAAGTAAATATTTGAACTCGTAATGTAATATCTGTCTAGGTCTATAATATCTAGTAGTATGATTGATTAATGAATTGATTTCAATCAGATAAGTAGATATATTGCAGAGCGCGCAAAAAATAACTGTATTGTATTTAATAATATCACTATTGCTATTAGGTGAAAAACCGTTTATATGCGAGTTTGAAGGATGCGGTCGTCGATTTGCCAATTCCAGCGATAGAAAAAAACATTCGCATGTTCATACTTCTGATAAACCATATATATGCAAAGTACCGGGATGTGAAAAGGCATACACGCATCCTTCGTCATTGCGAAAACATATGAAGACCCATAGTAAATCATCGCCAAGTCATACATCTTTTGATCAAGGCCCAAATACGAAGGCTTTAACTGCACGCGATACCGCTGGTATTAACACAACGCAGCCTGGAGTCGATTGGTACGTTAATGCGGGAGGTTTGCCTACACCTCAAGGCAACGATCATCCATCAAATCACGCAAGTGACAATGTTTCCCATGTAACCGCCAATACTAATGGAGTATATGCTTAATAAATTACGGACTGATTACCTGATAGGGAATATTAAAGGACAATCCTTAGTTAAAGTTTTGGTTATGGCAATCTGGCAAATTTACAAACATTAATTGGTAGCTATGACTTATTACTGATGAAAGTTCCGTATTAGTCGCAAATATCTACAAATCATTTCATTTTAGCTTTGGTTGTATTTCGCTGGTATATAATCGGAAACTTGAGATTATGTCTCTTTAGAGTTGTTTCTTTGAAGTACACAATGGCGTATTTAGTCTTCTATGGACATTATTTTGATTTACATTTTGGCGTTAATACGGTTAATACATTTTTATTCATAGGTCCTCTTTCTAAATAGCATAATATATTGGTTAGGGCTTCGTGTATTTGCGCATCTTTTCACTAACTTATAATGCTCTATCTGGAATGAATGATATTCGAGTATTTTCCTGGATAATCAACTTATATGGCTAATCGATACTATTCGCATATTAATCTCTATTGATTGTGCATTTCATTTAACAGCGGTAACAAAAGGTAATAACATTTTAATATTCAATTTTTTATCCGGCAAAATTTTCCTATATATATCAAATGTCACGAGATCTAAATCGTCATCGACTTGAAGGAGTTGTGAACAATTTATAATTATTTATTTTATCGAATTTGCAACATGAGTTTAGCTTCTGTCTTCGCATTCTTAGTAGTGTGATTTATCTGATTCCTATGCCTTTCATAAAATTGTTATTATTTTTGTTATGCAGATGCTATTATCATGTATGTATAAATCTATCTAAGCCTTTTTAGTAAGTAAAGTGTTTTTTAATGTCAATTAATCCATACTGATTACTCTGTATTTTTAAGTATGTACGGCGTAAATTAACTAAACGTGGTGCATATTAGCTTTGCTTTTAATTATGATGAAAGATATCGTGGTATGGCATTTACGCGTATATAACGTAATGATCTTATAATGATTAGGTCAATCAATTGTAGTCTACTAATAATTTATCCGCTTTATTGTATTACTTACATATGGTTATATTGAAACGTGACTACTCTACTTTCGCTATCATTTTACCTTGTTGACGAATATTTTCGTCCGCCGTATACGCTTTTTATAAATTATATCATAATTATCGATGACATACGCGTGTACACCTAGGCATTTGAAGGCTTTGATTGTTGGTGCTACTTTGTTAGACGTAATATTTTTCAGTGGCCAAGAGTTGCTGGCCATGAAGTTAGCTTGATTAAGAGACCTTAATAACAATCTTATTGTTAAAGGTATTAACACATATATATTTAACCGTAGCATGATATATAGGCAATTATAGTATTATGCTTGTAAAAGTATTTCGTTATTCCAATAGTTTTACTGGCGATGCAACTGTACTTAACCAGCTGTTTCTATTCTAATTTTACCTATCCATATTTCACATCTGTTCTATGAAGTGGTATACTTTTCTGAATTATGATATTGTATCTCGGCCGATTTTATCAAATATGAACGTACCCTCCGCATTAATATAATAATAATTATTATTATTTATACTTTGTTAATCGGAAATTATGATATATATGCTACAGTAATAGTACTATTCCACTTTATACACTTACAGTTATAACTGTAACAATTATGGATACTTTTGGATATTTTTACCTTATTTTTAGCTAGGTGTATGTACGATATACTTCTGATATCGTTCTGCTGTAACACGGACATTGCTTTAAACAGGCTTGTCATATGCGATAGTTAATGTAAGCCAATGTAATCATTTTACGATATTGTCAATACTGTAATTGCAAAGTTTTACGAATGCAGTCTATCAGTCAATTAATATGGCAATGGCTATTGTTTGGGTTATGCGACTATCAATCCACAGCACTATCTTTATAAATCTTTTATCTATAATATTGCACAAACAACGTCAGTAATCCTTAAATAAATAGAAATTCAAACACACGATTGATACAAAAAGCTCTTTAATGATCCTAGTGCGGTTACAGTTATATCCTGTACCGTAATTATAATAGTAGTAGCGCTTAGACTTACTTTTTCCACAATTAACCGACAGTTATCCATGGTCCATGCTCTTCTTAATAGCACTTATTCGGTTAGCGAAGAACATTCATGATCCTAATCTTTTTAACATAAATATCTGTAGTCATCTTTTGGCCAATAATATGCAGCAAATTCCCTTTATATCACTAATCATTCATTCTTAAGTGGATAAAGGCTGCACAAATTCGAATGAATGAGTTTAAGCTGACTTAAGATCTCAATGCTAATTCCTTGAACGAGAAATGTACATATGTATATACTTTTAGAGGATTAAATAAATACCCCTAGGTACGACTAAAATATCGCAGTCCCTTGGCTGAACTAACTTCCCCTTATTGTCAACAACGACTATACTATAACTATTTGTCACTATAATAATTAAGTTACGGTACAACATGCTAATTTCTACTGAAATGCCACTTGATTTGCAAAGGGAACGATCGCTATAAAACTTAAAACTTATTTATAATTATAATAGAACTATGTGTGAGATGGAATGTGATTCTAGCGAACCTCAAAATAATTAGGCTAGTAATCCTTTATTTTCTGAGGTTTGTTGGGAAGATAAATCATATTAGATTTGCTCAATTGAGGAGAGACTGATACATTCCGGTTTTAATCGTGAAGGCTTGTGCAATTTATGTAACAATTTCTATGCTACAGTATTACTTGGATGTCATATGCAGCTACAGCTGTCACAATTTAATTGTGGTGGAATGGTATCTGCTTATCGCTTAGTATTAGTGATCCACGTAGTCAACGTCGTAAATCTTCTTTAATTACTGCAATAAGTCACTCAGTGCATTCAGTACACTTTCAAAAATCTACACCAAATCGCAAATATCTTAATCATTAAAGAAAATGAATTTTAACCGCGTACATAATGATAATTCTGTGCTATGAAATGGTACAGGAAAGTAAAATTCTAATGTTTAGCGATCTATTTTTCGGGAATTTTTGCTTTAAAGGTAAATTATTCGTAGAAATTATATGTAAGAAAAATTTGATTTTCAACTAACATTCACTGAATAAACGCAATTAAAATGATAACCACTTTAGTGATACAACGTGATAACGTAATCATTGATCATATTATCATCTTATACGATATACGCGTATATGCGTACAAGATGGTGGCCACTTCCAGCTTGAGATACTCGGAAAACAACTTTGCTAACCAATTTAAGAATCTAATTGCTATTAAATTTCCAAATGTATATTGAATACTCGTCTTATGATATACGTTATGCGTCAGCGATATATTAATTTTATATAACGTAATGCTAAGCCACAGAGCAGTACTTTAATACAGTGGTAGCACTACACTTTTTTTAATTGTACATCAATATAAATTTATAGGTAACATAGATATATGTATTACAATCACTTATATTATAACTAGTACACATGAATTACATATATAGTATAGAAAGATATAGATTTTAATAACGTTGTTCAGAACACTGAAGATTAAAAATTAGTTTATTCCTTGAACAGTTTTGTTGAATTAATTTCACTACACAGATGGTAGAATTAAATCACGCTAATCCAATATAATGCTATAATGTCGTCACTTGTAGACTATTCAGGGCTACAAATCTATCTATTTTAGTATAAATTAGAAAGAGATTATCTCGAAGCGCAGGTTAAATACGCGATTTTATATTAAATAATAAATCAGATTATGTATGACTATAGTAATAGATCTATTTTTAGCAACCAGTATAAATTTTACAGTCGAAATTTTAAAGCCTAAAGTAGTGAATTAAAGTTATCGGTTTGATTGCAATATTGAACTTGAAAGTATCTACCATATGATGGTATGATACATGCATCCATATCTCGTTATTATTGTTGATATTGAATCTGATTCATATTTGCTCTAAGAAACATTTGCAATACAGCGATTATCCAGTCATGAAGACAAGCAGGATGGTAGCGTATTGGTGTATTCCAATAAAGTCTGCCTAATTTCATCATACAGGATCTATAAAGTTATTACATGCCGTAAGCCATCTGTTAATATTTTAATAATTAGGCACAATATGGTATCAGCCCACTACATCTTTGGTAAGTAAATACGATTAAATGAACTAGATCATGGAGCAGTGCTTATTACAAAAATTGACACATAACGTATCATTTGGATCGTATCCAGTAAGTGATTTTTATTAGTGTTACTAAATCTGGGGCAGATATATCTACAAACTTGAATTAGAATAGTATTGGATTATTTTAAGCATTATGAAATCTGCTTTTCCTTGCACTTGTACTCGTAAACCTGCTACTTCTGCAAACATGCAATATGACATTGAGATATGTAGAGTAAAGTTATATTTCAGTTTAATTAATAAAATTTTGATGACACCGGTTGATCCTATACAGGTTATTCCGATGTGACAGCTGTTACTACAATTAATCGCCGAATCTGTTTCCACGGGGGAATAATAGAATGTTAATGCCAATTCATTAGAGTTGATATTGACCTTCTCAACATAAGTTGTATTTGCTAATGCTTGTTATGCAATATTTTAAAAATTAATAAAAGCTATCATACAGTACAGTATCATCAATCGTTAGCGGTAATCGCTATTACAGTTAGCTTAAATGATAATACGGTAAAATAACTTTAAATTACCTCAATAATCGTGGCAAAATACTGAAGTAAACTGAAATTTAAATGAAATCATGAAATAAAGTGTTAAACAAGCAGGCATGATCACCCTAGTTTCTACCTTTGCAGAGAATGA